CCAAAAAAAGAAAATAGTACAATTTCTTAGTTGCAAAATCCGATGTCTTTACTGTACCATTGTGAATAAAATAAAATATCAGTGTGTAAAAATTTACTTTCATTTCACGCAACATATTTTTTCAGAATTGTATTTGGGCTGCACAATGGCTCAGCATAGCGATTGGCACTGATGTGTTACAGCAGCAGAAAAGAATGGTAAATGGACTGTACTTATAGCACCTTTCTATCTTATTGAGATACTCAAAGCGTTTTACAACTCAATCTGTGTCCTCATTTACCCATTCATACAGCACTCTATAGCTTTACGAAGAATAATCAGGGCTTCACATTCATACACCGATGGGACACACATCGGAGGCAATGAGGGGTTCAGTGTCTTGCCCAAGGACACTTCAGCATGTGACTGGTGATGGAATAGAATCCCCAACTCTTGCCAATCTCTGGTTTCCCTGGGGTCTTTCTATATAGCATTTGCATGTCTTCTTCATGTTTGCCCAAACATGCATGTTAGGCTGCCTTCAGGCCCAGGCCTGCCTTGCAAAATAGATCTGTCATCTCAGTGAGATTTGCCTGGTTAAATAATGATAATAAATAATTAAATTGCACTGTATGTAAAATATTATGTACAATTTTTTGCCCTTTCTACAGCTATTTGCATGTTTTCATCCTGATAAAGGCAGATGAATAAATATTTATAGTGTAAGTGATTAAAACAAATGTCTCTCTTGTTAATTCATTTATTAACATCATATTTATTATGTGGATAAATATCATTAAAATTAAATGGCTTACAATGATAAATGCACAATTTGTGGCTCAGTAATCTATTATTTGGCATCCTGAGAGCTTTTTAATTTGAACATATTTGAATTATTTTTTTCTTCCACTTTAGCTTGTCAACAAGTTAGATAAGGATTACTAGTAACAACAACCTTACAAAATAACAATAAAAACCCACATAGAACAATGTAAAATAATTAATGCGTATATTGAGCACAATCAACAAATTAGGCAAAAAAAAAATGTCAGCCACAACTTCCGGGTACTAGTGACGCTACACGAATCACGTGACACTTTGAGCTTTTACTCTCCAATTGGAAAACAGGAGATTATTTACAGCCTTCGTGACAGACGCTAACATTGTCCAATCAGAATAAAGAATAGGTTTATTTTAGCCAATCGTTTTACGCTGTAGGCGGGCCTTAATAGAAGTGCCTGCATGCATCGTTACCATCGTGCCATGGACTGACTTGTTTATTGTCGGGCAAGATGGAGTTCCTTTTGGGAAATCCTTTCACTACCCCTGTGGGGCATTGCATTGGTAAGGAACTGATTGATTCGGAAATAGAAACACTGTCGTGTTGATGTTAATACTTTGGAGTCGTATCCATTTAGTGTCAAAGTCATTTATTTACGTGATAGCTACTGTTAGCCAACAAGCTAACTTGCAGTTGCAGAAACAATAATTTCGCCACTGACTGTGCAAATATTGACCTTATCAAATTAAATATATTTCTCTCTATATCTATCTACATATATATTATTTTATTTTAAAAATATTCTCATTTGTCAAGTCGAAGGTTAAAGTTAAAGGGTTAAGCTGCATTTTTTGTAAATGAATAAATGTTAGCGACGTGAGCTAACAGCTAGCTACCACTAATGACTGTAACACGTTATATTTAATAAGACCGTTTCCTGAATTGTCTGTATGTCTGTTCTAGAGAGAGCCACTGATGGCTCCTTGCAAAGTGAAGACTGGACTCTCAACATGGAAATATGTGATATCATCAATGAAACAGAGGATGGGTGAGTGAGCACCCAGCTGTACCTGTTGACTGTAAATCTGCACTACAAGCTGTCAATGATGTTTTGAACATCTTACCTGAGGTCAGGATATTCAGATAAGACGCATGCATTTTCCACCTTCTTTCATATGTGTCACTGTAAGAAATGAAATCTAGGTCTGGGTGTGTGAGAGGTGGATCCTTGCAAGGCCTCACTGCTTATCTCATTGCATCATAACCTTGTGGTGAAGCTGGTGTGAAGTCCAGTTCATGTTTGATCAGCAGGTTGTAAACTGGCTAAGGCAGGCCAAGCCCAGCACACAACACTTCAAATCAGTACTATAATAAAAGAAGTTTGACTTGTTTCTTGCGTTTAAGAAATGCAGGGGATGCAACACACCCTACTGCTGCAGTCTGAGTTTGTTCAGTTAAAAACAGTTGAGGAAAGTTAAATATTCTTGTGCCTTATGAATGAACAATCACAATACAGATACTAAAATTGTGAAAGTCGTGGATTGTTTAATATTTACTTACTGTATTCTGATTGTGTATCTGGATGACTTTTGGTGCCACTAAGAACGTAGCTTATACGTATTTCTGATAGCTGCTGTTCTTTTGAAAGTCATATCTTTTAAGTGGTTTTTGAAAGAAAAAAAAAAAACAATTGTGTGAAGTTGAGCTATCTTTTAGGTTTTTATTTCTTGTGTTCAGACCTAAAGATGCCATTAGAGCGGTCAAGAAGAGACTCAGTGGTAACAAGAACTACAGAGAAGTGATGCTGACTTTAACGGTGAGTTCAGCTGAAAAATACAGCTTTAGTTGTTTACGTTGTAACAAAACGGAAATCTCGTGCTTGAATGAACACGTTTTTCTGTCATGTACTAAAAGTTGTTTAATCTTTCCATCTGTCAGGTTCTTGAGACGTGTGTTAAGAACTGCGGTCATCGTTTTCACGCTTTAGTAACTAGCAGGGACTTTGTCGATGGCGTTCTTGTTAAAATAATCTCTCCTAAAAACAACCCCCCCACCATTGTTCAAGATAAAGTACTCTCCTTGATCCAGGTAAGATATCAACACAATTGATTGCACATTGTCCCAGGTTACTGTGCATGCACAACCAGTGGGCATCATATAGTACTTTCATTAGTCTTATGTTTTTAATCCTATAATAGTACACATCAATTTGAAGTATTAGCATATTAGCATGTGTTGCTGTGTGGCTGCAGCCTGTGACTCCCAGGCAGACCCTCAGGTAAAACACAGATGTCTCTGAGGCTTCAGCCAGCAGCAGCTCTGGTTACCTGTCTTGGCTCAGGTAACGCTGAAGCCTTCACAATGGTGGTTCTTATTTCCACCACAGTATGAGCCAGGCTTCCCTGCCTTCTGGAGGGACTTGTACATGCACGGGGGAAAAGAGAATGTAATTGTTTTTTGTTTATCTGGTATTTAGACAATTTGTTATTTTTATTAGGAAAAGTCTGTAGGACATCAAAGTTCATGCTCAATAATCCAGGTAAAATAATCCAACAAAGTTAAGTCGGGTCCTCTGGATGGTTTCTTTTTGTTGAAACATCTCGTTTTCCATCCAAAAGACTTCATCAGTCCACTGTAGGACAGTTTACAGAGTTGTACTTTCTTCAATCAACAGCATGAGTGACTTTGACGTTTTAGCTCGATCCATAAAATGCAGCTGGGCAACTGACTGGATGTGTTGTGCAACTCCTGTATCACCTGTCTCCTTTCTCAGACGTTCACATGTGCGTTATGGTGTGGATTATAAAGCCTTTAGATTAGTGTAGAAGAAGATTTATGTTGTAAACATAAATTCCATGTGCAAATTGGATCTTAGCTCAAATTAATTTGTAGCTTAAAGCTACTGATAAGACATTTTTCAGTCAAAGACATCCTTCATCCAAAGTCTTCGTGAAGTTGATTTTATCTGCTTTCTTTTGTTTGTTTTGTATTTGAAATATTGAAACAACTAGTCAGGCTCAAAGTCAAATACTTCCACCATTAGCTTCAACTAAAAATCTTAGGATTGAATTTCAGAGGATTTTTCAAAGTGTTTTTTCATCTCGAGTGTCGTCATCTTCTTCTTTCAGCTTTTCCCTCTTCAGGGGTCTCTACAGCGAGTCATTCTCCTCCACCTCACTCTGTCCTCACTCCAACTACCTCCATGTCCTCTCTAACTGCATCCATATATCTCCTCTTTGTCTTTTTTTCTAACATCCTTCTACCAGTATACCCACAGTCCCTCCTCTGGACATGTCCAAACCATCTCAGTCTGGCCTCCCTAACTTTATCTCCCAGTTGTTCAACTTGTGCTGCACCTCTGATCTCATTCCTGATCTTATCATCCTCGTCACTCCTAAGGAGAACCTCAACATCTTCATTTCTGCCACTTCCAGTTCTGTCTCCTGTTTTTTTTGTCAATGTCTCTGTCTCCAGACCATACACTTGTCTCACAACTGTCTTGTGAACTTTTCCTTTGACCTTTCCTGACACCATGTTGTTGCAAATCACTTCTGAAACTTTTCTCCATCCTCTCCATCCTGCCTGGACGCTCTTTTTCACCTCTTTACCACACTCTCCATTTTCTTGGAAAGTTGACACCAAGTGCACGAGGTCTTGCACCTTTGGGACCTCTGCTCCTTGCAGCCTCTCTGTTGAGTGCATTACAAAAATAATGAATTGTTAAGACACACTTTCCATAAATGTAGGTATTTGTTTGCCAAATAATATCATCAAATAAAATAATGCTTTAAGAAGGAAAAAAAAAGTTAAAATTCTGGTTTTCTCATTTAAAATAAACTTGTTCTGTATTCATTATGGTTAATTATAAACTTGATATCCAGTTCTTTATTAGTACTACATTCAAAGTTAAATGTTATCGGTAAGCTGAATTTTGCTTCAAATTGGTTGTTAGGAGATCAGTTTTAAAGGGATGAACGTATTAGGTACTGTATTATATTGAGTTAAATTCAGTCAAACTGGCTGCTCTTCACAACTTTTTATATCCTTTGTGCTTTATTGTCCTTTCAGTCTTTTCTGCTTGCTGATTAGTTGGTTGGTTCCTGCTTTTCATCGTACTGTTTACAGACCTGCCCCACTTCCATTAGAGCGTCTGTCGCTGTCCAGTTTTTCAAGCCTTTGTTGGGCGTCACAAAGTGCTGTCTACAAACTGATTACCACCCTTTGTTTTCCTTCTCTGCACTACATTTATCTTATAATTGTGTGGTTATTTATTTTTGGTCTGATTAAAATAAAAAAAAAATAAAAAAAAACATTTCTTTTGGACAATCCTCCTCGAAACACAAAGTCGGAGCAGTATCTGTTGACATTTGCTCACAGCGACGAATTTCGTAAAAATAAAAAAAAAGCTGCAAAATGAGGCTAAACTGGTTTTGTAGTTTGCTGACAATTGCAGACAGTCAAAACTGTTCAGTGCACAGACGCCCTGCTGTCAGGGCGTTTGGTTTGTTAGTGTTTTAGGGTATTCGTTTTATCAGTTGTTTTCTACGTGTTTCTAAATCTGCCTTTCTTTTTATCGTTTTACCCATTTCTTCATCTGCTTTCTGCAGGCGTGGGCTGATGCGTTCAGGAGCAGTCCTGACCTCACAGGTGTGGTTCAGGTTTATGAGGAGCTAAAGAGGAAAGGCATCGAGTTCCCCATGTCCGACCTGGAGACCCTATCACCCATACACACACCTCAGCGGGTAGGAGAGGTCATACCAAACAGTTTGAAATCATGCTGAAGTTTCCATGTAAAACAAGCCACAGTCTGGTGTTTAATGCATTCTTGTGTGTTTGTAGGCAGCGACTGCTCCATCCGGTGACTCAACTCTACATAAGTTCAGCAGCACCACTAAACCCACAGCACACACTGTCCCACCAGCCTACACAACCCCTCAGGTCCCTAACATTCATGCCTCTGGATCGATCAATCCCAGCCCCGAACAGGTACGAGAATAAACGCTCACCGATCATTTGGTTCAGATTATTGGTTCAGATTATCATTTACTTCCATACTGTCGAGGTATTTGCTCCTGCTGTTGGTTTGGTTTTTTTGGGGAGGTCATGTAGGAGTGATTAGTGGTTTATTGTTTACGCCAGCCAAGGGTGTAAAGATACACTTGTGCCTTGATGTTATGTCTGAAAAAGATTTGTGTTTGGGCTGCTGGTGAGTTCTTATTGCGGCGATGGATAACATCTCCAACTCAACGATCTTCTGGTCTGTGGACCTGTTAATGCAGCTTTTAAGAGAAAGTAACATTTCTGTTGTCTTTTGGCTGTTCAAGTACACAACAACAGCAGTTGTTTTCCTTGGACACAAAACCGTTTAAATCTACCATCAGGGCTTGATGTGAATCCTACATGTGCACTACAGACGGCTGCAGTCAGTGGTTTTCTTTGTTTGTGTGTGTAGATGACAGAGGTGGATAGCAGAGTGTGGTGATGAGCGGAGACAGTGAAGTAAAGTTAGGTAAAGACCAGGGGTGCGCCGCTTGCAGTTTTCTGGCCCATCACCGATCTCTAAAAAGTCTGACCTACCGATTCCAGTTTTGGCTGATACTGATTTAGTTTTATAAGCGACACTGTCGGGTGTTAGAAGGTCACAATGCACCTTCAATTTTCCAATCTTATTGAAAAACATACCCTTGAACAATGCGCTAGAAACAATACAACCTTGTTTTAACTGGCCATGAGGTAGTGCTCTGAAATATAAATGAAGTTTAGACAATTGTTGTTAAAACTACAAAAAAATCGATAAAATTGGTTTCTCGTGTACCATATTGTCCGCCGTACCCGTCACACCACCCTATAGGTTGCATCAGTCCATAGGTCTAAAAAAGTAGAAAAATCCATAAATACATTGCTTCGCTGTATATGTCACATCTATTATGCGTCACCGCTGACAGCCCGGAAATGTGCGCCAGTGTTGTGCCAAAAATCGATTGGCTGCCAAATGGCGGCAGCGTGCACTGGAGGACTTTAACAAGAATTTAACAAGATTAACACTTAGAAACAATTTTTTTTGCTCAAAATTGTATTAAAGGTGTGTCTCGGTTTACCTTTTGTTTAATAAATGCACTTTGACGGTCAAATCAGCTGTGTTTCAAAACACGATTCGTGGACGAAAACAAAGTATAAAGTAAAGTATAATAAATAAAGTCCAGTTGTTTTTGTCTTGAACTTTTTTGAATTTGTCTTTATAGCCACGTTTATCTATTACATTATACAACGGCATGCCTTACTGCTACTACTACTATTCTACCATCTAGTGGCTGAAAATGGTAGTGTTCAATATTTTCAGTCACAGTGAATGAAAACGGTCACATCTCAGCCAAAAATTGGTTTATAAATATGGGGAAAAAAAATCCATAAACACGTCGCTTCGGCCTGTAAGTTGCAGGGCATGTAAATTATACAACAAAACGTGACTTATAGGCCGAAAAATACAGTAAGTATCAACCGATCGCCGATCTCCCAAAATTAAGGAATTCAGAGCTGATTTATCGGTGCACCCCTTGTAAAGATACAAGTGCATTGTCAGTTCTTTTGGAAGCAATTTTGTGACTGAAACTTAAAAAAAAAAAATTTATTTAAATAATCAAACAATTTTCCTTTTCCATCTTCATTAACTTTGTTTTTTATGTTAATAGGTTAAAATATAATTTTTTTATGTCTCAATAAACATTGTTTTATCAGATACAAATTATGTTTTGTTGTTGTTTTTGTGTAGTTAGTACAAGTGTTAGTCATTGTTTTCTTTCATTTTAGCCATTTAAATTTTCTTGTTAGCCTAAACTTCTAAGATCTTTGTTGTTTTCCTAACTACTTCTCACACATGATCAGCTGCAACACAAGTTAAATGTAGTGTGCTGCAAAGATTTACAGTAGAATTATATGACTGGGTATTAAGAGTTGCATTTGGACCCAAAAACCCGGCCCCAGCCCGTAGCTGTCATTTCCGAACCCCACCCGACCCGACGTATTAACAGTAATTACAGGTCTGAACCTGGAAAGAACCCAACATTTTTGATTAAGCTTTGACTGCTTATATAGTAACGGTCAGCGGACACGTGCGGCTGAGTAAAGCAGATCAGAGCTGAGGGGGTGTTTGTCCTTTCATGACCGTCAAAGAGCATTCAATCTTTGCTTCTGCCTGCAATCTGCATTATTCAGACACAGACCCTGCTCTGACATGTCTGCAGGATATTTTGTCAACTCACCTGTTTGTGTCGTCGGCCGTGCACGTCCGCTGAGTGCAGCGGCTGAATGAACGTCCATTTGGGCTGATGGATCACTGGCAGTAGTCCATCTGAAGCTTAACTGAACTTTTTACCTCTTTCAAGTCCCGTCAGTGCACAGTTAAATATGTGTGACTGGTGAAGGTATACCATACCATTTTATTTATAAAGCACTTTAAACAGTGACAGGGCCAACCAAAGTGCTGTACAAATTTATTTTTGGTATTTCTTCATGTATGGCAAGCCATGTTGTCATAAAATTGGATCGTCCGCCGACACAATCAAAAGCCAGACACTGACCCGGCCCACACATTAAACACATTATTATGGCCCGGCCCTAATTCGAGTCAGGCAGGACCGGGCTCTGGGTTTGGGTTAGAAATGACAGCTGTACTGGATATTATTGTTGCTCTTAATTTTAAAACTTTTTTAAACATCCCTGGTTGTCTGTGCTCATTCTAAGCAGTCCTGCACTTGATCCCACGCTTTCAGATTAGATACCTGTTGACTTTCTTTATGTTCTCCAGATTTGCCGGCTACGCAGCGAGTTGGATGTTGTTCGTGGTAACACTAAGGTGATGTCAGAGATGTTGACTGAGATGGTGCCAGGACAGGAGGACTCTTCAGACTACGACTTACTGCAGGTGAATATGAAACGCCCTGTGTGTTTGTAAATTCACACTTTGACTCTACGATTATACACTAAATTCTGGTGTTTTTCCTCCATGTCTTAAACCTCCAGACACAGTGTTATTAACACGTCCATGTTGCATGCCTTTGTTTTGCTCAGGAGCTGAACCGGACTTGCAGAGCCATGCAGCAGCGGATAGTGGAGCTCATATCCTGTGTTTCTAACGAGGCAGTGACCGAGGAGCTGCTGCACGTAAACGATGACCTCAACAACATTTTCCTTCGCTACGAAAGGTTAGAAACCACCAAACGGCTCATTGTTTCAACACATGCGCTGTAGATGTGAAACTTTGTGAATGTACCAGACATTTACATGTGAAACGTTTTGTTTTGTTCATAGAGGAAAGAACGCAAGTCTTTGCACTTTATAAAGATGAAAGGGTTTTTGTTCATTTCCTTTATGTCTCGTCTTTGTTGCTTCAGGTATGAAAGGTTTAGATCTGGGAGGTCCTCGGCTCAGACTGTCAACAATGGGGTAAGTCAGAATTTTATGTGGTCAAATACTCTGTGTTAACTTTAATCCAAGAACAAAAAACAACTTTATCGCTTCTCTTAGTCCTCTCCATCTTTGCATTTTAGTTTTTCTGTTTGTCTGGCATCTTTGGCCGAGTGGTGCATGTTCATCACCTGCCAGGCTTTTAAATGTCCTCTAAGTTTTCATACTGTGTGTTTATTCCTTATCTGTATTAATTAGTTAAACATGCATAACTCTGGTGATCCTGCACAGACATTAAATGCAACACGCATTATTTGTTTTTATCTTTTTGACTTCATTGTGACAAACAATGCAGTGAAAGAGACCTGTTGCATTTCAAAAGCGCTGATGCCATGATTGTGTTTTGCTGAATCGATCACACCTCTTGTTGTTTGAGCATCATGTATCATCCACTACATTGTGTCTTTGCACTGGCATGTTACTGGTATTCACTGTCTCTTCCCTTCTACTCTTTTTTTTTTTTTTTTTTCCCTGTCCTTCTGTTTCTGTGGCTAGCTGCGACAGGCAAGTATACGAAATATTCTCATCCTCCCTCAATGAGCAGCGTCACCCCACGCTGACTATTAAAACATGGCTTAATGATATGGGCTCATTCTCCCACCAATATGTAATACCCCATATGGCATGTTTTGACTGTATTTGTGAGCAGTATATGGTAACTTGAAGTAGACTGCAGCAGTATAAGTTTATGAAAATGTTCCTTTTCTAACAGTTATGTTTGCAGTAGCCCAGAGGTCTTGTCCTTCCTCCCTGCTTATTCTGCTCATTCTTAAGGGGATTGTTGTGTGTTAATGGTACCGTGGTGATAATGCTGGATCTGTCATAACTTAAAAACATCAACAATTTATCAGTCTTTTATAAGAAAGTCACATTAGAACTGAGATTTTGAATTAATTAGTCTTTTCAAGCCCCCCTTAAGAAACACGTTTTCACATTTTTTTTTTCTGTTAAACCTGGATCTCACTGGGTTGTGACCGTCTGCAACAGTTGTGAACATTTCTTATGTTTATTTGTCATATGCAGGTTAACACAAGGTCAGCAATGCAATGAGATGATCAGGATGAGAGAAGCTGATGCAACTCGCTAAAAACAGAAAAAAAGAAATACTAAAGCGTGCAATAAGGGTACAAAGTAAAGTACCAAAAAGTGAAAAAGAAATGTAATATTTGTCCAATGTCCAAAATAAATACTGTATAGTAAACAACAACATGGTAGAATGTAACGGTGTAAGGAGGATGAATAAGTATTTCGTAAGCTTAAATGCACATGATGTATATTGCACATAACCAACATAAACTACACAGGTTGTGTGACAGGTTATTGCACAGAGTCACATTGAGATTAACTGAATTATGATTGTAAATAACATTCATGATATATGGCATATATGACATGATATGACATATACATGATACAGCCACATAGTGCAGCAGCAGTAAACATATTACCATAGGTGTCACAGATGTGACTTAGTACAATGTTGTTGTCAGTTCAGTGTTATTATCAAGAGTTCAGTAATCTGACAGCTTGTGGATAATAACTGTCCTTTAGTCTTTTCGTATGTGATGTCAGACTCCTGTATCGTCTGCCTGAGGGTAGTAGATGGAAGAGTCCTTGTGCTGGGTGGGTGTGGTCCTTAATGATGCTGCGTGCTGTATGCAGACATCAGCGGTGGTAGATGTCCTGGATGGTGTGGAGACTGCTACAGTGATGTCCTCTGCTGTTTGCACCACCCTCTGTAGAGCTTTCTAACTGGTGCAGTTCCTGTACCACACTGTTGTTTGTGATGGAGTTTCCAAAATGTCTAGAAACATTCGCACAGGTTCTCAATTTTCTTGTGAGTTGCGGAGGCACCTCAGTCTTGTTGCCTGAATTTTAAATATCTTCAAGAAATTTGCTAAATTTTCTCCAAATAGTTGCAGTTGTCTCAGCTGTCTTAAACCCCTTTCAGTATAGTTTCTGTAACACGAGTGCTAGAACTGTGTTATTTTTTGTGAACTGCATTTTACTTTGACCTTTTGAGCACCAACTAGTTTGTGATGCCTTCACATGTCGACTAATGAATATCCTGCATCTTGTTTTCTCCCAACTCCTACAATTGATTCATAAATACATACAGGTCCTTCTCAAAAAATTAGCATATTGTGATAAAGGTCATTATTTTCCATAATGTAATGATAAAAATGAAACTTTCATATATTTCAGATTCATTGCACACCAACTGAAATATTTCAGGTCTTTAATTGTTTTAATACTGATGATTATGGCATACAGCTCATGAAAACCCAAAATGTCTGTCCCAAAAAATTAGCATATTTCATCCCACCAATGAAAGACAAGTGGTTTTAATACAAAAAACGCCAACCTTCAAATAATCATGATCAGTTATGCTCTCAATACTTGGTCGAGAATCCTTTTGCATGAATGACTGCTTCAATGCGGCGTGGCATGGAGACAATCAGCCTGTGGCACTGCTGAGGTGTTATGGAGGCCCAGGATGCTTCGATAGCGGCCTTAAGCTCATCCAGAGTGTTGGGTCTTGCGTTTATCAACTTTCTCTTCACAATATCCCACAGGTTCTCTATGGGGTTCAGGTCAGGAGAGTTGGCAGGTCAATTGAGCACAGTAATACCATGGTCAGTAAACCATTTACCAGTGGTTTTGGCACTGTGAGCAGGTGCCAGGTC